CGGCTACTCGGAAGGCTGAGGCGGAAGGATCGCGGGAGCCCGGCAGGTCGAGGCTGCGGTGGCCGGGAGCACCAAAAAAAAAAAAAAGAAAAGAAAAGAAAAGAAAGAAAGAAAGAGGGAATGATGAGAATGGAAAGGATGCCCCCCATCCCCTCCCCCCTCCCCCCCCACCAGCTGCAGGAAAAGACTCAGGTATTGCCTTTTCCTCCCACTCACCCCCACGCCCTGATGCAAATAGTTTATTCCTAGGTTGAGAAGTGTTTGGGAGTTGGTTACAGTTTTCCAACTTGTGTGTCTGTCTGGACAACCTAGATTCTTTGATGATATGAACCAATTAATTGATGTGTAATAGATGCTGGAGGCGGGGATGTGTGAGAAGAATGCCAATTGGGTTTTGTGTGATTGACTCCTGTAGAATGACTTCATATTGACGAGCAAATGGGTTCCAGAAGATAATGATCCTTGAGGTGTTAAAGACATGATCCAGGATTTAGCAGAAACCAGGAGATTTAGATGGTGCCTATTATTAATTTCCCTGAGTCATCTAGTCCTTCTGGAGTTTCTTTTGTTGCCTGGAACTTGTGCTGTTTGTTTAGGTAAATTCTGTAAGTTCACAGATACAATGTGAACAATACTTTAAATTATATAGGGAGCACAATTTGTGATATACCTGTGGGGAAACTGCATTATTGAGTCCAAAGAGCTGGAGCATTGATCATCCTAACATTTTACTTATTCATAATTACCTGTTGAGTTATTTGGGTGACCTCAATCAAATAGGGGTTAAACGCTGGGTGTTTAGAGTAATGAGGAAATGATTAAGATAAATATTTGAAGTGCTTTGAAGTACATTTTTATATATGAACTTTTACTGAGATTGCTGAAAATACTTTATGGTACTCATCTTCATAACATCCTTGTAATGAAAGAAAGTGACATATAGTTATGGATATATGCTTGTGTCCATGAATGCTGTAAAACATTATTTTAAGATGACCAAATAATGTCATATATCTGCAGAATTAAAACACTAACATTAAGACATGACTTGAAACATTTAAAGAGCAATGTCTTTTGAATTATTCCTTTCAGTGAACTTATTAAAACTGCAGATGGAGGACAGATTTCACTGGACTGGTTTGATAATGATAACAGTACATGTTATATGGATGCCAGCACCAGACCTACTATCTTATTGTTGCCTGGCCTCACTGGAACAAGCAAGGAATCATATATTCTTCATATGATCCATCTCAGTGAAGAATTAGGATACAGGTACCAGTAAAATATTTTCTTCTTCTATTTTTCACTTAATTCACTCTAAATGAAGTACAAATATATCTACATGTTTGTCTCAGGAAAACTTGAGACAGAAATAAGTATTCCTTGACAGATAAAACACTCCCCTAAAGTATTATTATTATTTTCTCTCTGCTTCCTCTTTTCCCTCTTTTTTTCAGGAAGGTGTATAACTGAATCACCTCACAAGAAATGGCATTTAGCATAGTAAACACTCAGCAGATTTAGGTCGAGTGAATGAATGAAATTAGAATCACCCAAGCATTGACAGAGGACCCTCCCCCCAAGCCCCCAGGTCTCAGAAACAGTAGACCCCATTGGAGGGAGTGCTGTGGAAAAGAGCAATCACAGACCCCTGAGAGAGTACACCCTGGGCCTCATGTCACTCTCCATGTTTGGGCCCTGGATTCACTCAACTTGTCTCCTTGGCTGAGATCCCAAGTATAAAAAATATTCGGTATCAGCTTGTAGGTCACCCTTATTTTTCAGAGATAATGTGTGCCTCTTCTGCCCACCTGAACTTGCAGGTGCACATGGCTAGTGCCCAGTTGATGATGCCACAGCATTTTTGAACCATTATTCAACTCAGTCACCAGGTACAACTTAATTTTTTGCAATTGACTTAGCAACTTTTAAGTTGCCGGTTCAGCTCTAAAATCTTAAAGTCAAGTCAAGTCATTGTAAAAGGCACTGCTTTTTTTTTTTTTTTTGTTG